AGTAAAAAAGACAGATACTGAAAGTGTTGGTGAGGGTGTGGAAAATTAGAACCCTCATATGCTACTGGTGGGAAAGTAAAATGGCACAGCCACTTTGGAAAACAGTCTGGCAGTTCCTCAAAAGGTTAAACATAGTTACATATGACCTAGTAATTTCACTCCTAGGTATATATCCAAGAGAAATGAAAATGTATGTCCACACAAAAATTTGTACATAAATGCTGATAGCAGCTATTCATAATGGGCAAAAAATGCAGAATAATCCAAATATCCATCAACTGATGAAAGGATAACCAAAATGTGGTATATGCATAAAATGGAATAATATTTGGTCATAAAAGGAATAAAGTGCACTGATACATGGTACAACATGGTTGGACCTTAAAAATATTGTAAGTGAAAGAAGTGAGTCACAAAAGGCCACATATTGAATGATTCCATTTATATGAAATGTCTAGAATAGGCAAATCTATAGAAACAGAGTAAATCAGAGGTTGCCTAAGTCTAGAGGGTTTGAGGAAAATTGGGACTGACGGCGAACAGGTACAACAGTTTCTTTTTGGGGTGAGAAAATATTCTAAAACATCAAAGTAATGGCTGCACAACTCTAAAAATACTAAAAACCACTGAATTGTACATTTTAAATGGATAAATAATAGGATTTGTGAATTATAGCTCAATAAAGTTTCCATTTTTTTTTTTATTTTATTATTTTTAAATAGGCTCCACACTCTGCGTGGAGCCCAATGTAGGGCCTAAACTCATGACCGAGACCAAGACTTGAGCTGAGAGCAAGAGTTGGATGTTTAACTGAGCCACCCAGGCGCCCCTGAAGTTATTTTTTTTTTTAAAGATTTTATTTATTTATTTGACAGAGAGAGAGACAGCGAGAGAGGGAACACAAGCAGGGGGAGTGGGAGAGGGAGAAGCAGGCTTCCCGCCAAGCAGGGAGCCTGATGTGGGGCTTGATCCCAGACCTGAGCCGAAGGCACAACTGAGCCACCCAGGCGCCCCTAAAGTTGTTATTTTTAAAAACCTATTCCTCTTGGGGAAATTTACTACAACTTCAATTGTTTTAACAGTTTTTAAATTTCTTTAGATTTTTTCTTTACAATTTTGGAATGATTTTTTTCCCCTAGAAAACAATCCAGTTCACCTGATTTTTAAAATATATATATATATATTAATATATATGTTATATATTATTTATATATTTATATATCTTATATAATAAAACTTATATAGTGATTTCTTGTGATTTTTAAATTTATAATTGTGTTTGTAGTTATATCTCATTTTAAATTTTATTTGCACCACATTTTTTTTTTTTAAAGATTTTATTTATTTATTTGACAGAGATAGACACAGCGAGAGAGGGAACACAAGCAGGGGGAGTGGGAGAGGGAGAAGCAGACTTCCCGCCGAGCAGGGAGCCCCATGTGGGGCTCGATCCCAGGACCCTGGGATCATGACCTGAGCTAAAGGCAGATGCTTAATGACTGAGCCACCCAGACGCCCCTCATCATCTGTTTTTTGATTATGTCCAGAACTTAATCAACTAAAAAGAACCAGCTCTGATCTGAATAAACATTGCTATTGTTTTTATTATTTTCTATTTCACCAAATTCTATTTTTATTTTTTTTCCCTCCCTTCTTTCTTAGCTTTTACTTTCTCCTTTTTTTTTTTAGTTTTTGAGTTGAATATCTGGCTCATTTATTTTCTTTCAACCTAATACATGCATTTAAGGTTATAAATTCACCCCTAAGCACCACTTTTCCTGTATCCTTCAAGTTCGGATACAATGCTTTTGTTATGATTCAGTTCTAATTATTCAACAATTTCTACTTTTAAAAAAAATTCTTGAAAATGGTTAGTCATTTTTTCTTCAGTACTGCTTCTCCACCATTCTCTGTATTCTCTGTTCTGGAACTCCAATCAGACCTGCCCTGGAACTTTTCAACCTACTTCTAAGGTGGCTTAGCTTTTCTTTCATTCTTTTCATCTCTTTATCTTGCTGTACAGTGTCCAGGAAGAGTTATCAGTTTTATCTTTTTTTTTTTTTTTAAAGATTTTATTTATTTATTTGACAGAGAGAGAGACAGCAAGAGCAGGAACACAAGCAGGGGGGGTGGGAGAGGGAGA